CCAAAGTTTATATTAGCCTGCAAAAGCAAGTTTAAAATAAATGCATTTAAATTTATACCGAATCAAAGCTATCTATGAATATTCAAGTTGGTAACTAGAATTATAATGCCAAGTAATGCAACCATAATGTAATTTGCTACATCCGCGATAGATGAACAGGAAATCCCGTGTCAACAATTCTATATATTATAATATGTACATTCGCCAGTTGATACTATAGAACAGATATATTTTATTACTATTAAATAACTGTTATCTTGCTGGAAGGGAATAATTTATGAAAAATAAACAAAATTTCTTCCACCTTACTTCCTTAACTTCATCTTAGCTTCAGAATTTTAATGTATATTTTAAACTACTATTAAAATATTATACTGTAATAATTTCAATGTTTTAACATTGTATAAAATTTATAAAATTATTTACAAAAAGCTTAACGTACATATAATGTAAGTTAGATCAATTATATTTAAGAAAATAACACTTGGCTATTTTTATATTTATCCTTTATGTTTATTATTGTATAACTATTTTAAACCAATGAATTTTTAACTTTTCCTAAAACAAAAAGTATGTATATGGAATAAAAATATATTTACCCAGTTTATTTCGCTTTTTTATTGCTCTACATATGTATGGCTGTTTCGATTACTTTTCAAAAACCATGATCAAGAGACAACGAGATAAAAGATGTACATACATACGAAAATTACAAGTAACTGATAAATATTGAGTCCTACTTGATGTTATTTAAAATGTTTAAAGTAAAATACTTAGTACTTAGATAAGTTCCTTCAAAGCACTAATTTCTATAATGAAAACTTTTAAAAGTTACTCTTTCAATCAAGCCTCATGCATACATTATGATTTAACCAGAACACATTTACTTACATTTCAAAGCAAGCATCTGAGTTTTAAAAGCTGATTCTATTACACTTATCGGGAACTAATTCTGATACTAAAAATATATGAAATTTGTTTTTTATTGCTGGAATTTATAATCCATACAGAGAGTAACAAAACAGTAATCTATGTTTGAAACCTCTGTCAACACAGACATGTGCCTGGTGCTCATAAATTTAGTATTCGTGTGTTTGTGTTTAAAGGTTTTTATGAAACGTTAATCAGTCTATTCAGTTTTACAACACACATTTATTGCGATATAACTTCTTATGCGACATCCTACAATGTTGCGTTAAACGTTGAAAAGAGAGCGAAAATGCGTTGCGTTCTAACGTATGTGGTTTGGTTTTACACCTACTCTGGACGGAAGGTGGAACTTCCGGGAGCACTTTCGCGGGTTAGTCCCGAAACTCCTCGGGACGGCGAACGCTCTCGGAAGGCTCCTACCGAATATCGGTGGTCCGAGCGTGGCATGCCGGCGTCTCTACACCAGTGTGCTGCGCTCGATGGCGCTGTATGGAGCTCCAGTGTGGGTCGGTGCCCTCACAAGGCCGAACGTGGCTGCGCTGCACAGGGTGCAGCGCGTCATGGCGGTGAGGGTGGTACGAGCATACCGCACTGTCTCACATGAGGCGGCTTGCGTGCTGGCTGGGACGCCTCCCTGGGAACTGGATGCCCAGGTTCTGGCGGAGGTGTACCACCAGCGTGCGCGAGAGCGATCCCGGGGAACGAGTCCGGACCGGGATCGGGTGGAAGGTTGGCGGCGCTCCGCGCTCGCCTTGCTATTTCGCCGGTGGAGGCGGAAGCTCTCTGAGCCAGTGGCCGGGTTGCGAACCGTGGAGGCTATTCGCCCGCTCCTCAAAGAGTGGGTGGACCGCCGACACGGTTCCTTGACCTTCCGGCTGGTGCAGATCCTCTCGGGGCATGGTTGCTTTGGGAGGTATCTGTGCCACATAGTCGGAAGAGAGCCGACCGCGGCGTGTCACCATTGCAGTTGCATGGATGACACCCCCGATCACACCTTGGCGGAGTGCCCTGCGTGGGCGATAGAGCGTCGCCAGCTCACCGCGGTGGTTGGCGCAGATCTCTCGTTGCCGGCAGTGGTTCAGGCCATGGTCGGTAGCGAGAGTGCCTGGGAGGCGGTGGTCCGGTTCAGCGAGTGCGTCATCTCGCGGAAAGAGGCCGCTGAACGAGCGCGGGAAGATGACCCCTCCTCGGCGCCCCTGCGTCGACGAAGGCTGGGTAGAAGGCAGCGGGCCTACGCTCGCCAAATGCCTCCCCAGTGAGAGGAGCCTCCGGGCGTTGGTGGGGAACCGGCGTCCGGGCAACATAGGCTGGAGTGAGAGTGGCGTGCTTGGCGTTCCCGGCACGCTGCTCTGGAGTCGGAGGGGAAGTGTGGTGAAGCCACTGTGACCCCTGCCGAAGACGGAGTCCATGGGACTCGTGCGTAGTGAGCGGAAGTATGGCTTGCCGTTCCCGCTCACTAGCCTACGCACAGCGCAGAGAACGCCGAGGAGTTTAGTGGGTGGAAATCCCACACGCCCCCGCCGTGTTTTCCCCCGCGGCGGGAAGTCTTTCAAAGATTCTCCTCGTTAAAAAAAAAAAAAAAAAATGGTTTGGTTTTACACCTTTTTTAGATGATTTATCAACGAAATAGTGTGTCAAATAATAATTTGCTACACACTTTATTCCACGTCAAAAATAAGTTAAAATGTAGAAAGAGTGGACCCCAGACAAAAACCCTACAAGAACTAATATGACCGAAATTTTTTAATTAAGTCAAAGAATTTTTTGATTACCCATAAATTTTTAAATTCAATACAATTAGTTCAAATTTTAGTGTCTATTTAAACAATGTTTAGGCATATTTCATTAGCTTATTAATGCATTCTAACCGTTGAAGCTTTTACTATTGAGTTGATATTTCTAAATTAACATAACATGTAGAAAAAGTTATTCGCTATAAAAAAACCTTTCCTTAATTCAGATATCATTCCTTCATTATAACAGGATTACGTCTGCCATGTTTATAGCATATTAAAAGTATTACTCTCCAACTGAAGTTATATAATATAATTTTATAACAATGAAGGAAATTTTCTGTTAAGACCATCGTGAAGTATTTCTACAAGTCACGTGTCAGCCCTCAAGCGTAAATAAATAGATTGGGCTATCACAGGGGTTCCTAACCTTTTTTTAGTTCCGGACCACTTTTATATTATTCTTGTTAACAGTGACCACTATGTAAGTAATAAGTATAATAAAAATAAACTGTAATAATCAAACTGAAACTTTAATTAACAAATCAATAGGATATTACAAAACAAGAAATAATAATATTTTTAGGATAAACTTCTGCAATTTTGTATTAATGTGATTTCTGAGCTTGCATTTTCTTCACGAGTTCGGCTATCCTAGAACTAATATTGTTACTCAAAGCTACACGTAAATCATCACTTACTTTCAAACGATTCCTCGCTTTGTTTTTAATTACCAATAAAGCAGAAAATCCTTGTTCACATAAATAAGTTGTTGAAAAAATCATAAAATAGCGCAAGGCCATGTCTCGAAGTTTAAGGGCGGTTTCAGACTAGCGTTTTATACGCGCGTATGAGCTGGTTTTTGGAAGCGCATGTAGGCGCGTATAGGCGCGCCTTTTGGCACACGCTCAACTCGTACGAGCGTTGACGCGCTTCTAAGCTCGTATAAGCGCGAGCCAAAAGTAATTTTTAAATCGTTTAGAATCACTTCGCAGTTCTGGGTAAAGTGTATTAAAGTGACCGGTTATCAGTCTTGATGCAACTATCGGTGACACCCAGCACTTTTTCCGTCGTCTCAGTCGACGGCGAATAAGTAACGCAAAAAGTAATGTTTCTTCGTCAGAATCCATGTTGATACTGACACAATACCACCGGTTCGAGCGAACACGCCGAAATATGCGCGTTTACGCGCGTCCGGTTTTTTGAAGCGCGTAATGTAGCGCACGTGTAAGCGCGTATACTGAAACGACCGTATACGCGCTGAAAAAAACGCTAGTCTGAAATCGCCCTAACATAAGAAAATGCTTTTTTATACCAAAACGACTCAAGTTAATTCGATTCAAAAGCATCCTAGCAGTTTTTGTCATTTTGTAATTCAATGAATTCTTCGCGCGCGAAGCGATCCGTGACTTGTCAACCTAAAACGGCTCACCGCCCGCTAAATTTAAAATCAGTCGCGGACCATATTTTGGCTTCTGCGGACCATTGGTGGTCCACGGACCACTGGTTGGGAACCATTGGGCTATCACTATCTGAATATAAAGGATGTGAGGAATCTCGGACCTTTTTAGATTACAGAGATTGTTGGTGAAATACAAGGTTTTCTTTGGAGATAATGCAAAGGATGATCGAGGCCTGTTATTTTTGCTGAAATTTAGATATTGTTTCCACCTCTTCATCTTTATGTTGTTAAAAAAACGATTCTATAAAAGCTATTTTTCTGTTTTCGAAAGCATTGAGTGAAGTAATGATTTCGGAATGGGTCGGAATATTTTTAAGAACAATTTAAAAGCAAAAGCCATCGAAACTAATGATTTTCGGTTCCAATTAGGTTCGGCGTAGTGAGAGGAAATACTCATCGAATTTTGACAAAAACTTCTTAAGGGTTTAACTTTAAAACAAATTTTTGTATTTCTTTGACTGTAGAAAAAATTTATCTATTGGGGGCGAATAAAAACATCACAATAAGGGGCCTTTATCAAACATCTGCTAATTCAAGTCAATTAATCAATAAAAACAAAAAGTCAGAGGTCATTTTAATGTCTTGTATATCATAATCATAAAATATCGCCGAGTGAATTAATATGAAAATTGCTACGATCGAGTGCATTACGAACATGGGCGTACCCAGGTAGGGGCAGGGGGGGGCAGCTGCCCCCCCCTGAATAATGTTGACGTCCCTACTAAGTACCTTATCATGTACTTTTATCGATAAAAATTAAGAAAACATTTTTTTGCCATTTGTTTGTATTATTAATACGATATTTTAACAGCTAAAAATTACGCGGCGCGTTCGTTACCCATACCCATAACAGCTCGCTAGCAGTGCAGCGATAACTGGTCGATAACAATAGAGTCGCAAGTGCTTTCAGTATTTTGGCTGATAAATCAGCAGATATATCTGGTAAGGAACAACTAGCAATAGGTCTTCGATATTACGATCAAAAAGAAAAAAATGTTAAAGAAGAATTTATGGGCTTCGTAGAGTTGGAAAAAATGGATGCCCAAACGATAGCTGCTGAAATAAATAGATTTATTAATACGTTAAATATTGACGCTAATAAATGCGTGGGACAAGGCTATGACGGATGTGCTACTATGGCGGGAAAAGATGGTGAAGTCCAGAAAATATTGAGAGAAACTTATAAAAAGGGTTTATATTTTCACTGCGCCTGCCACAGATTAAACCTCGTGGTAAACGATTTAAATAATGTTTCTGAGATCCGCAACTGCATTGGAACCGTAAAAGATACAATAAATTTTTTCAGGGAATCGGTTCTGCGTCAAAGATATGCACCAAAAATACCATTGCTGTGTGAAACAAGATGGTCCCATAAATACCAAAGTATTTCGATGTTTAAGAAATATTTTGCCCAAATTGCAGAAGGTTTAGAAAAACTTTCTCGGGAAGGTAATTCTGCCACAAGGAAAGTAGCTTTTCAGTTACTATCTGCTGTCAGCCAAACTACATTTATATTTGCTTTATGTATTATTGCTTTATGTATTATAGACAAATATAATTCTATGCTGCAACCCGTCGCGAACATATTGCAATCTAAAACGCTAGACATATTAAGATGTGCAGAACATATAGAAACAATAACTACTGCAGTTGCAGAACACCGGCGTTCCGCGGAAGAAGGGAGCGAAGATTTAATCAAATCAGCTGAAAAAATTGCTACGGCTTTAAACATTGACCTACGTTTACCAAGAACAGCAAGCCGCCAACAACATAGGGCAAATCAACCAGCTGCTTCACTTAGCGAGTATTTTCGTCGCTCATTATACGTGCCTTATTTGGATTCTTTGTCATCTTCATTAGAGGCGAGATTTAGCAGACAGCATTCACCAGCGTTTACACTTTCATTGTTACACCCTACTCAGATAATTAAAATTACAGTTCCTAAATTACAAAAATGCATGGAGGAAGTATCAGATTTTTATGAATTAGAAGGGATCACGTCTGAAGCCGAACTTTGGCGCACGTTTTGGATAAATAAGCAGCAGCAGGATTTTGAAAATATTGAAATAGCAGAGTTAATACAAGAAGCAGATTCTTTCTACCCGAAGGTCAAGATAGCTTTAGAAATTTTGCTGGCAATGCCGTATTCCACTGCTACGATTGAAAGGTCGTTCAGTACACTTAGACGTGTAAAAACGTGGCTAAGATCGACTATGACAGAAGATAGATTGAATGGGCTTTGTATGCTCAGTGTGCACAGAGAATTTGTTAAAAGTATGAGTGATTCTTTCACGGAAGGCATCCTAAATCGTTTTGCTGAAGACCCTCGAAAATTACTTTTAAAATAGCCATTGTATAAGTACCTAGTTAAAGAATTTATATAAAAAAATATTATCTATTTTAATTTAAGTTTTTTTATTTTTAAAAACCACCTCACCTAGCTTATAAAAATAAGATTTGCCCTCCCCTGGCCCAGAACCTGGGTACGCCCATGATTACGAATGCAAATTAAGTCATAGTGGAGACATGAGTTTACTGGTTATGATAAAGTTACATGTCTTCTTAATAATTTAATAACGTAATAACTTATATTTTATTTGATAATTATATCTTTCGCCTGACTACTACAAATAAGCTTATTGAGGGCTCGCTTTTAACAGGGTCTTTCTTTTCATGAATTTCAATTATAATAGAATTAAACTTAACTTCGCCGTATAACATAAGTATTCTTATGAAACGTTATATCTTAAATAGAACAGAAAATTAATTTCACGGGTTTCAGACAGACAATTCATTTTATTTATAGAGACTAAAGACTAAATTTTTTTTAAGACAGGCATCTACGCTTTAAAATCTCGTTGGGAGAACGTTAACGTTAACGTTTAACGTGCTTTATGCATGCGACATTTCGATTTTATATTATAATATTAAGGAAAATAATTAAGTTAAATAGAGGAACAGGATGACTTAAGTATGGTCAAGTGACCATACAAGAAAAAAATATATAAATCCTAATAGATAGATTGCAAGTATTTTGAAAAATCCAAAATATTTTTCATAAAATACTGGAGCAAGCGACAGAATATAAGATTATTACTTTCAAAAGTGTATTCATCAGAACCTTAAATGGTAAATATTACAACTGATCATTACGTAAAAGTAGAACGTATTGTAAAGTACAAAAAAATTTTAATGTACGGATGATTCAAAGAGGACGGAATTATTCCAAAACTAAACTAAATTAAAAACAAAAAAATATTAATTAATCGATTACTACATCCTTCTATCAGTGTCCCAGTTTACAGATTCTAAGTGCCGATTCCAGCACTGAAATTGGTTCACCCTAGTCCAATTTACGAATTTTATTGCTATATGTATTGTCAAATAAATAAAGCATTATAATTTTACACATATTTCTTGTTATTAGAAAATATAAAACTATGACATACTGACTTTTAGACCTTGAATGTTAAATATCAAGTATACTTACTTTTTTCTTCAGGAAATGCTTGGTTGTGTATTTTTACACTTTAACCTGATCAGCTTATCACATGCTGTTTGTACGACTTGAGTCAGCTTTATTTCCAGTACCTGTAACAATGAATGTTCAGTTTAAAATGGATACATTATCATTATTTTTATTACGCCGCATGTTTAAAGTATCCAAACTTACTTCTACATTCACAGATTAATAAGTAGAGGGTCTTCTTATTATTAATCTGTGTTAATCTAGAATTGTGGTAGACCAAAAATATAAAATTTCAAACAGTTGAAATAAAATTTACATTTAAATTTACTTAAATTTACACACTTAACCACACATTTACACGAGTAAACATATAATGGGTAGAATATTATATGCTTCGATGTAAACTGAATATTATAACCGATAAAAAAATACTATAGATCAGTACTGAACATATATAATACGTGAAATTAATTTATAAATAGATCATAAAGGATAAAAAGTATGAATTAAGTTAGCAAGGACCAAAAATATGTTGGTCGTTTGTAAAGTACTAATTAAATTATAATTTTCGCTATATTGATGTAAATAATATGGTGTGAAATAAAACATAGTTTATAAGACCAAAGTGATCCAAAAGGATTTTTGCGTTAAACTTACTACTTATGTTATTTAGTGGTCATGTGATTCAATTCAACATCTAAAATAAGAGACTCTTGAATTTGAATCTGACTGGGAGCGAAGCAGTTGAGCAAAGTTTATATTGAAAGACACGGAACGGGAAGAACACGTCATTACATTACAGTCGGAATTGTAACTGTTTGGAGTTATTTTGGAACAGTCAAACAATTAAACCGTGTAACGTACGTTAGTCCCATAAACTGTTACTAATTGCTAGCAAAGATGGAGACAGATGGACAGGATATAATTTATCATATTGATTTTAGATTCAAATTCAAATAAATGAAAAAAAAATGTAAAAAAGGGTGAAACAAAAAACGATGTATACACCTAGTAGTGATTTTAACCAAGCCATAGAATATTTATTTTGATGAAGAATATATAGCCATAGTAAAACAGAGAAAAAATACAATATATTTTCACACCAACACAACTCATATTTATCCGAAACGAAAACCCGATAACAATTATTGCGTTGGCACTCAAATGTGTGATCTAAGAGTTTCGTGAGTATTCATTTAAATGAAACGAATATTATTCAGATTATCACGTGTATATGTAAACTACATACTCGCCACGTCGAAATATCACATCTTGTCTGTCCATGATCACGGTTGCTGAAAAGTAACCGAAACGTCGGGAGTATTTAGTTTTAAAATAATAAAATACACGTAGTAATCCAAATAAAATTAGTTTTACTGACTCAAATATTGTTTTAATTATCAAAGATTATATTAAATCCGTTTGTTCTAAGTAACACTATTTAGGTCGTAGTTTATTAACAAGACGTCTTACATCGAACGTCTCAATCTATTTGTCAAGACAATTAGTAATAAGTAAACACCAATGGACATTCCTTTGCTAATACCGATTTAGGATATTATGAATATTGCATCGCTATTTCATAGTCATCGATTTATCCTTGTTAAATCCAATTATGGTACAAGCAACTATATATATTGATATATTGGTCGGAACCTTTTTAAATTTTAAACATCCCTACTAATATTATAAATGCGAAAGTAACTCTGTCTGTCTGTCTGTTACGCTTTCACGCCTAAACCACTGAACTGATTTTAATGAAATTTGGTACAGACATAGAGTTGACCTTAAGAAAGAACATAAGATAGTTTTTATTCCAGACTTTTGAAAGGTTCTCTTGGAATCGCGATATAACCGAACTCCACGCGGGCGAAGCTGCGGGCGGAAAGCTAGTGAAGATATAAAGTATCTTATGAACTAGTTTCAAATCCATTTCCTATATATTCTGTCAGTTCTAGTTCAAAGATAAAATATAATTAGTATTAAAGTAGGTTATTCTGCATGAGCTGTTTCCTTACCACAAGTTTGAATGATCAGACTGCATATGGAACGTTTCGAGTTCATTAAGATAAATTCTCACGTAATACAAATAATTTAGATTTATAAATTAAAAATTGCAAACGCTCCCTAAGTAGTGCGCCGATGCAAACTTGTAGTAGGGGAATTGTCCTTCGATTTAACAGTTAACTTTTCATCCTTAGACAGAAAACAAAATAGCTTCAATGTCCAACGACATTCCAAATACGTGATACGACTAGAAACGTCGAAGCCGTAATTTGAGTTTTTTTACATCCAAGTGAAAATGTACATTTTCATTACATTACGAAGTTAAGTGCGGGTTATCTTGTAACTTGTATTTTAATTTGAAATAAGCTACGTCGTTTTTTAACACTCAAAAAGACCTTTTTATCATTAAATATTTTTAAACAATCATCATTAACACAATAACATATGTACGTACGCATTTTTATTAAAAATTCGTACCAAAAAAACAAAGGTTCTCTGAAATTCTTTGTAAAAGAACAATCCATCGAGATTTATCGTGTAAGCATATTTTTCCATGCGAGTTACATTTACATTAAAATGAATTTATAATAAATTCTTCGACGTAATTTATTAATATTAAATAGGGAAAGTATTTTATTGACATTTTCCATGTAAATTTCAAATGAATTCCTTATTTTAACCAAGGTAATGAATGCTTTTGGGACATAACTTTCATGTCAATTTTATTGTTTATTCTTTAATTACTAATTCATACTTCAAACAAAACTATTTCTTTCAATGAGTTTTTTTTAACCCCTGACGCAGACTGGTATTATAAGCTTGTTTGTGTAAGGCTTTGCGTATGTGTGTGTTCACAAATGACTTGGAGTATTTTTTGGTTTATGATTACTCGATAGAAAGCCTTCGTGTAACAGTATACTTGTTAAATAACAATCAATTAAATTTTATTCAAAAGAAAATTAGCTTCAAAAGGAAATAAAAACGAAGACTTAGCTTTTTACTATGCGAAGTAATATTGATCACTATTCCTTCAGTACTAATATTAGACATCTCTGTTATATATAAATTCTATATTTTCTTGACTTATTTGCAAACTTGACTTTATCTTTCCATCTTATACGGGTCCATGACAAATCATTAGCAATTAATAAAGATGAATTTAGGGCTTGTCTTCCGAACAAAATACGACAATGCCTCAAATGTTAGGGAGTAAAATTGTAAAAAGCAAAAACCTCAAATTTTAAGATCACTATCATCAAATAATATTGGCACTAAGAATAAAATTCATAATTATTTATAGTTATTGACGTTACACAAATAAACCATTCCCGTGGGACTTGACATGAAACGTCAGTCACTATAAAACGTGGAATAACGAAACACAATTGACAGCTATGCAATTGACGTATAATGACAGATATGTAATTTAGTATTTGCGGGATAAATTTAGAAAATCGTTGTTTTTCACATGGGCAATTATAGTTTGTGTGTTCACGAGTTGGGAAACCATCCGCTTTATTTGTGTTAACGTTAGACCAAAAAACAAAAAATGTGGTTTACAAAGGAGCACTTCAATGAAACGGATAATTTGCGGACACGTAGGTATAACGCTTCGATTCGGTATCTACTTTGGATTCACTTTCATTTACTTAGAGAAGTTCAAGTAAATAACAATTCATTTTTGTAAACGAAATGAATTCATTGCTGTTGTGAAATGAAATAAAAATTTTCGTTTTCAAATATAAAACAAAAAAAAATCTTCATCTTTTAATCACCAAACGAAATGTTACATAAAACAAAGCGTTCTGGAGGCGAAACGGAGTTCGCCAGGTTTACTAGTAACTAATAAAAATAACTTGGTTTATCCATTTC